ATATTTTTTTTTTATTTATTTATTTATTTTTTTTTTTTTTGAAATAGATTAAAGATAAAGTAGGATAAATGAAATTTTCCCTTTTACAAAAGGAGGGAGAATGGGCCCCTAAAAAATCTGGGCCTGAGGCGAAGGCCTCTTAAGCCTCTCCTTAGGTCCGGCCCTGTCCACCACCTCTGGTATAGTCTCCTTCTTCGACTTCTTCACAAATACATTTGGAGCCCTTGCCAGTTGGTGCAGTGTTCTGTATAATTCAAAACCCACTGACATTGCTATCATCCCCATCGCCACAAACACAGGCACAAAATCCCCCTTCGCCGCCCTGAACCCAACCCATCAAAAAAATGTAAGTCATTAAATAAATCGAAAAATTAAGGAAAAAATGGCTTCCCATTATGAATTTACTTATTCATTACTTTGTTTTGATGCTTGGAGAGTTCAGTAAATCAACAGTGGGAGAATGTGCTTTCAGAAAAAGAGAATAAGATTAAGAACAATACAAACATAAATACACAAAGTAAGAAGGATTGAAAATACATACTGAGGATCTAAAAGCCATTGTGAGTGAAAGTAGTAATTCCTTCACAGAGTGTGTACGTGAGTGTATAAATAAAAGAGATACAATTACATAGAATGCGGTTGGAGTAACTGGATGATTCAGGAGACATACATGTTACTGATTTATGTACTATGTTCTAATTGGGTTTTTGAGGAAGATGGTGTAAAGTGTTTGCAAGAACTAAAGAGTTCATTCAATAACCTGAAGGAGAAATCTTCGTTTATGTATTTTAGTTTGGGGAAGAGATGAAGTGGAGTGGGATGGGGTGGGGTGGATGATAAGGTTTTAAAGATTTGGGATCGTAGATATCACATATAAAAAATTTGGATTTAATTTGTAAAAATAAAAAGTTTGTGTATTGAAATTGCAATTATTCATTTTTAATTTTGGCCTTTTTTTACTGTTTTTAACGACAAATATGACAGATCTTGACAATATGGGGTTTTTCGCACAAAAAACTTGAAATATGGGGATCTTATGCGATTTTCAATAGGTAGAGGGTATATCGCAAATAGAAACGTTTTTAGGGAATTTTCTACTATTAACCATTTGAAAAAAGTAAAAGTAAAGGCAGAAGCCTCGTCAAAGAGACATTTATGTCAGCTTCCTCTGGAAGACTTGTCAAATTGGCCTACTTAGTTCTTGTTTGACAACCATTATTTGAAAACTCTTGTTTTCTACGTACTTGTTTTTAACCACACATTCACACGCTATAATAATATATATGTAAACTCAAAATTTTTCCCTACTTTCTACCCACTCATTCTACTGAAAATCATTATTCAAAAAAAGTTTTCAAACATAGGCTTAACAATCAAAAGTAATAATTTTTTTTAAATTTTAAACTTTTTAAGCTTAGTCGGATATGTTTTGAGTTAGAAAAATCTATTACATATTTAACACTATATACCAACTATGACACTTGTCTTCTATCCAATGACTTTCGATAAGTAGAGAAATTTATTCTTCTTTAGTTATCATTAGCTTGAACACGTTAGAAAAATCTCTATAATTTAATATAATTGGTTTGAAATTGTTGCTTGGTTTTTAGACATGTAGTGAAATGGTGATGCCTATTGGTCGCAAATCGAATGATACAATGTCTCCTTCGGCACCTCTCAATCTATCACAAGTTATTGAAGACTGTAAGAACTTGTATGGTGTCTCACCTCGACCACATTAGGTCACAACTTATTATGGAGGCCATGTATGTTATTGTATTTATATTTTTATCCTCAATTTCTATATTAATTATGTTTTCACCCTTTTCTTGAAATTATATTCACTTCTAATGATACTAAAAATACTACAATGTGCAGACTATTAAATTGGTTCTCCATCGATTTGCAAGCAACATAATTTTCTCCAATGGTCTAAGAGATCCATACAGCAGTGGAGGGTAATCGAGAATATATAGTGACAAAATTCTTATTATTTTAGATATTTTATTTCAATTCTATAACCTTACTTCGTTGAATTCATTTTGGATGACAAATTATAGGATGCTAGAGGACATATCGGAATGTGTTGTGGCCATTTACACAATTAATGGTACGTGTTGAATTCGATAGACTCTAAATTTTGAAAGAATTTAGAATCATTATTTGAACTTTTTACTTCTACTAGTCACGACTAAACGTGAGTTGCACATTATGTTGAAATACTTTATAAACACCGTAAAAATGATATTTGAAAATCAGTGAATATAAAAAATAATTAAAAAATCTGTTTATGTTAAATGATCTTTTTATATAATTCAATTATTTATTTACGTGTATGATAATAATTAACATTAATTTATATATATCCTACTATAATTCAATCAATTAATTTTTCAAGTTCATGCATGTACACTTTATATATTTTTTGGGATGTTCAATTACTCGAAAAATACTACAATTCAATTATTTATGTATGTGCATGTATACTAGTTAATATTTATTTATGGATATATTAAATATAATATTAAGTCGTCAAGTTCATGTACACATGTTTTGAGAGTTATTCAATTATTTTAGGAGTAAATAAATTATTCAAGTTCATGAACACATATTTGCTTTCAAGATTATTCATTTTATCATAAATTATTTTAGAAATATAAAAATTATTAAAGATCATATAATTTGGGAGCTATTCAATTATTATAGAAGTAGATAAATTATTAGAGTTCATATGTACTTATTTAATTTCAATATTATTCATTTAACCTATGATATGACGTCATTTGTCTAAATGTATATAAATTATCCGATTTCTATATACATTGATTCAAATTAATTAAATTTCATGTTGGTTCATATACACACTTTTGTTTAAATGTTTATAAATTGTTATTTTTTTATATCTATTACTTCAAATTAATTAAATTTCATGTTGATTCACTTATACCCCTTTTGTTTAAAAGTGTATACATTATACTTTTTCTATATTCATTTATTCAAATTAATTAAATTTCATGTTCATGAATCAATTTGATTGTTCTCAATTCTCATAAAATTCAGTTATTGATTTGCGTGTATATTTAATAATTAATATTCAATTAAACATACATTGAAAAAATGAAAAGTAAGGAACTATTAAAATAATTAAATTGTAGTAGTGCTCAAATCGTCCAGAAAATTATTAGACTCTCCAAGTTAAATTACGGTAAATCACTATTTTCAAAAGTATTTCATCCTTAGTTTTATAACAATGATGCATCTTTCTTTATGAAAAATTAAACCTTTAAATCAATCGACTAAAAGGTAACAATACAATGATAATGCATGCAGCAAATATTATGTATATTTTGTCAAATAGCTTAATATTGACTTTCCTCTAAACTAATAGATCTTTAAAGTCGTACGTGGCCGGCTTCAATAAGTCATGAAGTCGTATGTCTAGAAGGAAATGTGACCTTTGTACGCCAATAAGATTTATTAATTACTTGACAATTACCGTTCCTTCCTTATTCAAAATACCTACCTACAAATTCTTGATATCGTTTTCAAAGAGAAAATGACAATATTTATCATATTTATCATCAGTAAATGTGCAAAAATATTATAAACTAACATATAAGATTAGTAATATTCTTCTTGAAAAGGTACTTCGAGATTTCGATATTACCGAATAAAGAAAATATTTGTAGTATTCAAGTAGTAATTATAAAAAAAGTGAAAATTGAGCTATTTTTTAACTTTAATTTTACAGGGTCTCATTGCTTGGACATACGTTCAGCACAACCAAGTGATCCAGAGTGGTTGGTCACGCAACGCAAGAAAGAGATCAAAATTATTATAGGATGGATTACAGAGTATTATGCTGATCTTTTAAGCTTAAAGAAGTAGAATATTTACTTGAGTTTTCATTAAATAAAGAGCCTGCAGCTCTTTTATATCCCTAGAATATTTCAGATATATAAAGGATTCAATTATACTGAGATTTTTAATATATTTTCATTTATAATACACATTAGAGATTGATCATTTTCGTTAATTGGAGGCGTAAGGCCCATATATGATATAACACTAATGTTTGACATGAACAACCCTAAGTACACTATAAAGAAGGACCAAGAAAGTTGAATTGCAATGCATTAAGGTTTTTACTTTTTTACACAAAAATACACATATATGCTAATCTATCTAACAAATAACAATTTTGTTATATGTACATCAATTTTAATATTGTTGTGAGATGATATTTTTTATACATTAATTTTAACAACACTTTAACAATCAATAGCACAGATTTTAACACATCTTGAAATGTTAAATTTATTGCACACAAAGAGTGTACAAAGTGTTGGAATTTTAGGGTACTATAATGATTAAAATGTGTGAATTGAAAAAGTTTTCAATAGATGCAACTCTTCAATACAAATGGTGTATATTAAAGAGTTGTTTCGAATGCGGGTGACCTTTTGATAACGTGCGATCTAAACTATCAATTTTGAAATGATGTCTTCTAATGTTGGAATTAATTTGACCATAAGATGTGACCATTCGAAGAGACATACACAAATCTATAAATAAGACCGTCTCAATTCCATTTTCTTAGCTCCAAATTAATTCCTAATAACTGGTTTCTAATTCTTTCTTTCTCTTAATTTTATCAAAATAATTTCCATATTATTTTTGAGTTTCGTGTTCGATATTTGTATTTGATGTCTTCCGTTCTAGAAGAGTATGGTCAAGAGTTGGTTCGCCCGACAAAGTTAATACTATGCAATATTAATTTTAGAAAGCGTTGTATTTTGGTAGACGGACGCCCATTTGATTATATTAACACCGGTGCAGGGGTGAAATTCATCTTATGAAAATTTGCATTCGCATACCTTATTTCATTTCATCTCTTCCTATTTACTACGTTTGAGTAAGTCGTGATTTGTTCTTTATTATTCAAGTACTATAATTTTGGTAAGTTGTTACTCTATTCTATTTGCGTGCACGTGTTTTTGAATAACGAAATATAATTCATGCACTAATTTATCCAACACAAAGTAGTTTAATTCAACAAACAAATATAGAGTAGTTTAGAGCTTATTTATCAAATATTAAAAAAAGTAAAAGTTAAAGTTAAAATGCTAATTTTTTTAATTATATTATAAAGTTAATTATATTAAATTTAACCATTACTTTAGCGATAAAGAGTAAATAATTTCCTTTAGAAAAATGTTATTCATCCCTAAGCTATGTGGATGTAAATGATTGGTTAAATGATAGGTGAAATTAAATGACTTATTTAATTTCACATATCATTTAATGCCACATTAACGCCACATAGACTGGAGATGAATAGCATTCCTCTTTCCTTCATACATAACTTTGATAGATAGCAAATTTATATATTTGTAAAACTTAGTTATTAACTTGTTGACAGACAGTTAGTCACCACTTTGTCCACCTATGTGTTACTTGCGCACTGGGATACAATTAGAATGCATGGTCGTTCTACCAAGAATAGTTTCGTGAACATTTACAATTCGTAGCTCGAGTCAGATATCAAAATTAGGTTTGGGAGAAATAAATCGACAATGTTTTGGCAAAAATTTTGATATTTCATACATTTGACTTTTTGCAGATATGGGGTATTTTACAGGGAATTTAGGTCGCGTAGTTAGAAACTGGAAAACCTGGGCGTGATGGTTGACGTGGCCTTCAGTCGATAGTACATGATTGCAATTCAAGAATTGAGACTAATGAATATTCAATTTCTAGAGATGGAATTGGAGGATGTTACATATGAGTTGAGACTGACATATGTTCAATTTCTGGAGATGTACATATACTTTCACTAGACATATTATTGTGAGGTGACCCTTTCAATACATTGATTTTAACAACACTTTAAACAATCAATGACACAGATTTTAACACTTCTTGAAATATAAAATTGATTGCACGCAAAGAGTGTACAAAGTGTTGGAATTTGAGGGTACTATAACGATTAAAATGTGTGAATTGAAAAAGTCTCCAACGGGTGTAACTCTTCAATACAAATGATGCATATTAAAGAGTTGTTTTGAATGGATGTGACATTTTGATAAGGTGCGATTTAAACCTTTAATTTTGTTTTATAGTGCTCTTGGGCGTTATTCAATGGGACCGCACATGGTACAACCATGTGTGCTCTTTATGTAGGGAATATGAGCAACACAACTTGTAAGTTCTTTCTAAGCTTACCCAACATAACCACGTGTGCTCTTTATATAGGGAATAGGAGCAACACATCTTGTAAGTTCTTTTTAAGCTTATCCAACATATTTATTTGTACTCGAGCATGTTTAGCATAATATAAATCATAATTTAAGTTAGTCAAATATAATTTTTATTCACACATTTGTAGGAACCACAATTAAACTATTCACACTGAAATGTCAATAAACATTTAAGATTAACAAGGATCTAAACCCAAAAAATAAAGTACGGTCGCAACCAGGGGCAGAGCCCAGATTGGCGTTGAGTGTGGGCACAATTTTGTCCACGCCGAACGTCGAGTTTTTAGTCATGGATGTGAACACCCCAATTAGAATATAAGGGTGAAAAGCCAATAGGAGCTGAAGAGGATAGGAAATTTGAAGGGGAAAATATGGAATCCCTGGTTAAGGTGGATGTAGTTGCAATGGATGAAGAGGAAATGGATCAAGTTGTAGAAGACCAAAACGAATCCCTTGTTAAGGGGAACTTAGTTTCAATGGAGGAAAAGGAACAAGAGCATGACATGAAGGAAGAAATTGAAGTGAGAATTGAATTGGTGAAAGATGAAAGCAAGGAAAATGGTAACGATTATGCTAAAGTTAGAGAAGCCATTAAGGATGATCAAGAGAAACTATTTAGCAGAAATGACATTTTAGAATAACAAGGATACGAGGAAGATAATTCGCTGAAGAGAATGGATGATATTGAAATTGAAGAACTACGAGCCATCTCGATTTTTCAAAACCTTTGAGCCATCTCAATCCCCCCTCCAACATCTCCCTCCAAAACCTTCGAGCTATCTTGATTTTCCCTATTTTACACCAACCGTATATCAAAATTGTATAAACCTTAAAGTCAGCCTCAACTCTATATTTCTCCTTATTAAACACCTCAGTAGCCACATTCACATATCCATACTTACAAAGAGTATCCAAAAGGCAACAAAAAGAAAAGAAAGCTACGAGTCAAACGACAATACTAAAAATGACATTATATTTTTTTTGAAAGAATCTCTTCATTTCATATCTGTATTTAAACATTATTGTTATTAAGATTTAAGAATGTTTTCAATTCACGGTGCAATTCAAATAACAATAATTACTGGAAAGCCTGGAATCACACTCACAGTCACAGAGAG